TTTATATGCTGAGCATGACGTCATACGGTATGGAATATCCCTTTGGTCAGTTGGGCTCAGCTGTCCCGGCTGTGTCCCCTCCCAACCCCTTGTGCACCCCCAGCCTGCTCGCTGGTGGGGTGGGGTGAGAAGCAGAAAAGGCCTCGACTCTGTGTAAGCACTGCTCAGCAGTAACGAAAACATCCCTGTGTTATCAACACTGTTTCCAGCACAAATCCAAAACAGAGCCCCATGCTAGCTACTATGAAGAAAATTAACTCTCCCCCAGCCAAAACCAGCACACCTTCCCACCCTCCTTTACCTGCCGTGCTCTCCATCACAAAGCAACGAATGCCCTCGAGCATCGTACCTGCTATCAGTGTTCTCAGAAGGATATGCTTCATTGTGCTCTCTGGACACAACATCACGGTTTCCAACACTTGTTGTGCATAAGCATTGAATGAAGAAAGAAGATCTGGATTATCTTCCGTCACTGCCTGCAAGCAGTTTGCTGCAGCAAACAACAACAACAAAGACAATTAACAAACCCAATAGTAGCTTTCACTCTCCTAATGAGAAAGCATTATCTTCCTGAAAGCCGGAGTAATGAAACAGACACAGGGAAAAACATTTCAGGCAGCATCATGTTGTAATGGTATGACACTGTCCTTCACAAACTGTGTTTTAGATTAAAAGACATTCTCTGGCAAACCTGTACATAAAACAGGTGAGGATACTACCACATCAGACATGGGACTAGCCGTATTAATTTCAGCTACTCAAAATTCAATTTCTCCATTGTATACTGACTAGAGAAAACAGCAAAAAATGTTGCGAGCACATACACTTGTAAGACCATTATAAGACTGTAATAACTATACTACTAATAAAAACACGTTGAAAGTGGTAGGAGTTGTTTGGGTTTTTTTTTTAGACGGACTATGTCCTTTGCTCTACAAATTAAACCCTTCATTACCAAAACCAGAAAACAAAATGAAAAACACAGCCTCCATCCAGAGCTTGCTTTCCACAAAACTTTTCCTCCCATGTAACCACCAATAAGCCATTCTCCTTTGGACTGAAAACAAGCACAACAGATATCAACTTCTGAATGATGTGCTGTTCAGGAAGGAATTTCAAGTCTTACATTCAGTGTAAAGTTTAAGTAACGCTAAGGCAGATGCATTATGCAATGGATGTGACATCAGTGTCACGTTCATATAGCAAAGAAAAAAAAAAGTCTTTAAATCCTTATCTTGTCTTTTTACCACTTACCTACTGAAATAGCCAGATCCACATTGGTGGAAAATTTCTTCATGTAATGTAACACAGCCTCCAGACATCCTTCTTTATTGAATATGGATACTGCGGTATTGTTGCATTCACTAACGCATAAGAAAGAGTAATAAAACACTTTTCCCAGGAAAAAATTACTGTAACAACATTTTAAGTAACATGTACTCACTATTACTCACATTTTAAAAACCTACCTAAGAATTACACATTAGTCAAAGAGCTACCCTTCGTTATCGAGGTTATGATCAACTCTATATAAAATGGAGAAAGAGAAGCTGCAATACCCTGGACACCTTTGAGGAAAGCTGGCTTCTGCCAGCTGCTTCCTCACACACAATATTTGGGAGTTTATTTAGGAGCCTGAGTACAGTCTCACGTGGACAGAGCCAACCAGAGCGTGAAAGGCAGTTTATAGCTGCGGGCTACAAGCCAGCCCAGGGCTTTCTGCAGCCATGGAAGGCTTCATCCACAAACCCACTGACAACAGAGCGGGCTGTTGCCTCTCACATCAATATTCGCTTACTCCAGAAAATGACTGCTCTTAATATTCAGAAATGCATGCTAAATCAATGCTAAATGTGACATTTACTTTAATTATCTAACAGTGGGATTTGTGTTTCTTCAAGTTTTCACAGCTATTCCCATTTTTACACTAATATATTGATACAAGACAAATTCAAACTAAAAAAGCATGGGACCTAACTAGCTACAAGGGTCTTCAAAAATTTACTTTTGAAAATATTATGTCTCAGCATCAATGCCAGCCCCAATTTTATCAGTACCAAACTTAGCAACGAAGTCAGCAGTTCACGGTCATTGCCACAAAGTTCAAAATACAGAAGTGATTTATAGCACACTTAATGATTATAGTTCCTCTTCCAAAGCACTTATGTCTACAAAAACAATTTAAAAAAATGAACACAAAACATTGTTGAGTCAGAGTTACAAAGGGTCATGTGTTCTGTGTAAGGTGCTGAGCAAGCAGTTTCCGCACTGTTCTAGATTCCAATCCCTAAAAAAAAACCAATTTACAAATAAGGCCTCAAGCCAGTAGCCATACCATACAGACAGACATACAGGCAGCTCCACTGAAATACTGTACAGTACAAACCAAAATTCTGTATGGACCAAAGTGTATAATGACGTGGAGCTGTTACAAAACGAAGAGAAACAACACAAAACTCAAGGAGAACTTTCAGAACAGGTTTGTATCACTTCAATGTTTATAGCCATTTCTGTATTAATAGTGTTGCCATTTCTCTTCCTTCACCTGGTGTTTCCAATGTAAACTACTAATTGAACAACTCTCATTCTTTCCCACATAACTAAGTAGATTTCTATCAATGCCTCAGCCACTAAGGCATAGTTTATCCAAACATTTAGTATCAACTTTTGGGATGATCTGCAGAGGGAGGAAGTAGTACAAAAACTCCTCATGTTCCCAGAGCACTGGAGTCCCCTGATCAGAATTTAATTTTCTCCATCTCCTGTATCACGATAAGGATCTACAGGTACTGCATGCAAGACCCCACAACCCAAACTGTACAGGAGGCTATGACAGAACACGTTCAGAAAACACTATCAGAACTTAGGATGAACAACCAATAGAAAAAAAAAAATGTCACTCTCCTAAAACTAATGACCAACTTTGTGCATGTTTAGAATCCTTCACTTACAGAAGTAATTTATGGTAGAAGATAAACTTGTATTTCAGATCAGATGAGGGCTTGCCATTTATTAAGCAAGGCACATGTAGGAACAACATAATCAGAAATCAGAATCAGCAACTGAATACATCTTCCCATGCAAGGACAGCCATTTCTTTTTTGCCTCAATTACCATGCTCTTTTTCAGGAACAAGTTAATTTAGCTCTTCTAAGAGGCCAGTGTTTACACAGCACTTACCATACATTCCACAGCAAATTAATAGCCTCGTTGGCTATGTCTTCAATATAATTTTTGTTCATCTCTCTGCATTTCTTTGGAGACAGCTGGTTAGCATCTAGTCCAATGCTACACTACAACCAAACAAGAGGACCAGGGTTGGGAATCAAACAAGCCAAGAAAAGCAAAAACTTAAAACATTAGCAGCAGAGTGAATGGAGAGCTCTCTCATGAAGTGTTTATTACCAGAAAACCTGACTAGTTTCCTATTCTCTATGACAACTGGGCCACAACAGAATTGTATAATTGATAATTTTTTTTCTCTTGTAGAAAGACTCTTACAGTACTTGCTTTGCATTCAGTAGTCTTCAGAAGCATTTTTTTTTATAAAGAAATACTTAGCAATTTTAGAACCTGAAATAGTTTCTTGCTAATACAGTCCGTATGCAATTTTGAACAGTTCTTTCTAATCACAAAATTAATTCAGCTAATATCTTGCTGTGCTTTACAATAACGCTATTACCCATATTTTAAAATGGGGAAGAAACATACAGAAAATGATGGTATTGCTCAAGGCTGCTCATACAAAGACAGCAGGTGACAGAATTCAATGCAATTTCCAAACTGCACTGCAACACCTGGACCAAACAAAGAATAGGTATTCAGTACAGATTATTCTACAATAGCAGTAACTACCCAACTGTAAATCCAAGCTTTCATTTAGACAAAATTGTTTACCAAAAAAACCTCACTAGAATGATGTTGCAACATAAATGTTGGATCTGGATCTTGACTGACAAAATAGACTTGTCTTGACTGACGGTCCAGACCCAAAATCTCCAGACTGTTTATGTAAAAATCATCCTAGGCAGCAAACCTCACCACGGACCCAAGTTAGCAGGGCAGGAGGCAGAAGCAAGTGGTTTGAAATCTCTGGAATAATTTTTGTACTATTAAACCTACTGAAACATTCTTTTAAAAGATTTTTCAAGTATCTTATCTTAGAATCATAGAATAGTTTGGGTTGGAAGGGACCTCTAAAGGTCACCTAGTCCAACCCCCCTGCCGTGGGCAGGGACATCTTCAACTAGATCAGGCTGCTCAGAGCCCCGTCCAACCTGACCTTGAACGTTTCCAGGGATGGGGCATCCACCACCTCTCGGGGCAACCTGTGCCAGTGTTTCACCACCCTCAGTGTAAAACATTTCTTCTTGAATATAGCTATCTTGATAATAGCTATCTGATATAGCTGACACATACAGCTGATATAGCTATCTTGATAATAGCTACAAAAATTGAACTATTTTTGAAAATGGGATAATTCAATGGCTAAATCAGTTTTAAAATCAGAATAAAAATAAACACACCTCCTTCAGAAGTGCGACAAGGGGTGTCATGATGTCTTTTGTCACCATGTCATCACAGACTTCAAATCCTCCACAAGCACTCAGATTTCTGGGAAAAAAAATAAATGCTTTGGATCAGATACAATACCTTCCAGGAATGTTTCAAAAAAATCCGTGCATTCGTTATTCTTCTCTAAAGGTTATGGTACCTTTTGTTTTAAAATCAATCTGCTTCATCAAGAAATTTAGTCTTCTACCTTCCTAACATAAAAGAGAATAACTTTGGTGTTAGGGGAAAAAAAAAAAATTCACTTGCTTTCTAGCCTAACTAGAAAGCTTATCTGTACTAAAACATGGCTTCTGTCAGGTATTACTCAGTGTAAGATACAACATGAATGTTAACAACTATTAGCATTACATTTTGTACAAATAAAGCAAGCTGTAGGTCTGACTGTAGAATACCAACTCAAAATGATGCTGTTCAATATTTACAAGTTTCTCAAAAAGCCAGCTATGTGCATTCTCTAACTAACCCACTGCTCCTACAGTGTTATCAAGACACAAAACGCCATACTAACAGCATTCAAGTTCTCTATATTTCTTCATATGACTGTTGATTTTTTTCCTTAACATAAGGATGGAAAGCAGCACATTCCACTGGGAGTAGATAAAATGGTAGTACCTAACTTAAACACTGCTCCTGACATTAAAGTCTCGTGGCAGCCTATTGGAGCAAGAAAAGCCCCTCTCTCGGGGACTTCGACTGACATAGGCATACTTACTCAAAACGGAGTTAAAGCAAGACAGGCTGGCATTCAAATTCATGGCTTTTAACAGCAAAACCCCACTCTTTTCTTTACCATGCCAGGAGTACCTCATTCTAACTGAATATTAACAATTGCTTACCGGAGAGCACCTGCAGCTGTCTCACGAACAGCTAAACTGTGATCCATCAACAGCGGTCCTAAACACCGGACAACATCTCTCTGCAGAAAGGCTGGGATTACATGCTTCTGCTGCAACAGCTTGGAAATACTGGCACAGGCATACTCTCTCACTTCAGCACTTGGATGCTGCAGCTGGGGAGACACAGACAGGGCAGATTAGGGGCGAAGGAAAAGGTAACTGGAAGTTTTTATTGAGTGAAAAGACTGATCTGCCTTTTGATTTGCAGACCCAGCACTGTAGCTCCTGTTTTACCGCTCCTGAATGGAATCAAAAGCTTTTAACTCCCATGGAAGTTTATAAATCTTTGCCCGGCTTATGTGTGTAAACTGTATGACTAGATAAATACTATTCTGGGTGTTTAACAGGAGAAACATAGTTCAGACACAGATTTGATGCTACCTGGCACTGGTGAGACCTCTTACCTACTTTCAATTACCACGTTTAAAAAAAAATAGACAAAAGCAGAGGAAAAAATACCATCAAGTATAACAGACATAACATATGCCACCATAAAGAAAAACTGAAGAATCAAAAAATACGAAAAACATGATAGCCTTTAGACTAAAACCATCTGCTTAAAGACAAGGAGCAAGCGTTCTCTACATCCACCAGATGACACTGACTTGTGCTGTAACAGAGGTTTAGGTGAGATGCAAGAACTGCAAACCATAAAAATAATACAACAGCAGAAATGCCTATCCTGGAAGGTCATGGAGTTTGTTGAAAATCTAACGGAAAAGATAAACGTCTGCTGAAGAGCAGAGTGGAAAACAGTGCTACATCAGATCCTGCCTCACTGAAACTGATAGAGGTCTTTCAGTTCATCCTCACCTGTACATTTTTTTTAACTTTTTTTTTTTTAAGACTAAATAGGTTAGTCCAGAAGAATAATCAAGCAGTGATTTGTTCAATGAGTTCAGTTAGGCGAAGTGAACAAAGGGAATTTATTTACTTAAAGGAACACAGACTTTTACTTCTGATTCTGAAGTCGCGTGCGCAGTAGGTTTAAACTAGTTTTCATCTGTAATACTTAAGCAAAAACCAGGAACGTGGCCAACAAGTGGCCAAACTCAGCCTTTTTCAGCATTTTCTATCAGTTATTTCCTACGCGTGGCTCTTGGACTCATCGCTCTGGCTACCTGTAGGAAAACTCTCCAGTCGGGTAGCCCGAGCCCAAGCGCTGCAAGAAGTGCCTCAAAGCGCTTCCTGGGACGAGGGGCACACAGCAGCCT